CCGCCTCTCCAAGCCGCACGCCCGGATCTTCAGCGGTTCAAGGCCCTGGACTTAGAGCGTCTGTCTGTGGCCGGGGGCTCCAGCCCCATGGGGGATGCCTGCCGGGCGTGGGTCTCAGCAAGCCTCCCTCCCCACTGGACAGAAGCCTGTAGCCTCCCGTGCCACCCCCACACCGGTCTGGGCGGGGCTCTGCCAGCCACACTTTGGCCAGCCTGGCCTGGCGTTTGGGCCCTGACCCCTCTCTAAATAAAACTCCCCCTTCTCCTGGGCTCCAGGAGGCTTTGGGGGCCCCAGGAAGTTCCATTCCCGAGAGTGAGAACTCAGAAGGGGGAGAAGCAAAGGGCCAGGGTAGAGGCGGTGGTGTCGGCCGGGGCAGGGGACTGGCTGCTTTTTCCTAGCACAGGCCTGTGCCCATCAGAGAGGCGGCCAGCGCGGACGTGTCTCTCCGTGGGGTGCAGCGGAGGAGAGGGGAGAGTCTTTGTCTGGGGAAATAGGGGGGGACATTTGCATCACGTTCTGAAGCAGGAGCCCCATCGGCGGGCGTCCCCATGAGCCTCGGCGACCCAGCTGCCCCGTGCGAGCTCCCGGCGTCTCCTCCGCGCCCGGCAGTAGCGCACAGATGTCAAACCCGCATCCGGATGATCGTACAAAAAAGAGAGCGAGAAGCGAGCTTTCTCCGGGCGTCGTCTTCACCCCGCCCGTGGCTACGCCAGGGTCCCCGCCGGCGCGGCCCTGGGACTTCTGTAAATACAGCCAGCAGGCGTTAGACTGTGGCCGTTTGGGTTTTTTAAATGTCTCGTGAGAATGAAGTTTACGGAAGGTTTTCTGTTCATTTTCGTGGGGTTTTATTTTTTAGACTAGGAAGCTAAAACCTCGCAATCAGCTCATCTTGACTCTCAGTAATTCCAGCTCTGCTTTTCCACACACACTCCCACATCCCCGTCCCCCCCCATGGTACCTAGAGCAGGGAATGGCTGTGCAAGGCAGACGAAAGCACCACGCACCCCTCCCCGCGGTCCGGAGGGGGCCAGGTGTTGCTTCCTTGGCCCGGTCGAGTAGCCAGCGGGGTGCCGGGGAGGCGAGGCAGGGCTGGCGCTCGGGAGATGTGAATCCGGTGGGACCTTTGGTCCGCCGTTCGGACCGGATTCAGCGAGGGACGTAAGGACGTCAGTGGCCCCGCGGGTCCATGGAACTGCTCCTGTGCTCGTGTTTCAAAGGAGCGTGAAGGGTTTTTTTTTTTTTCAAGTGCCTAACTCCCATGGACAATGCCTCCTTTAAAAATTCCAGCCCGCTCGCCCGGCTGTACCAATGCTTCCTTTGATGGGTGGGGTTCCATCCTGGGCAGCCGGGCTCAGCTTGCAGGCCTACGGGCGTGGAGGAGGAGGAGAGCCAGACCACAAGCCCTTGTATCACATGCCAGGAAAGAGGCAGGACCTGCCCACGGAAGTGGGCAAGGACAGGGCCGATAGGACAGAAATACCCTAAGAAGAGCCGGGCCCGGTGCACTCACACCAACACACCCCGATCCTGGATGGGACCAGCACTTCCCGCTAGCTAGGATGGTACAAAAACATCCCCCACTGATCCCTCCGGAAAGCTACGGTCAGCAGCTCGGATCAGGAGATGAGTGATAAGTAGCCACATCAGGGGGCAGTAACTACGTTCTTTGTATGGGGGCTAGAAAGCTAGATCTCAGCGGGAGTAGCTTTGTCTGGCTTGCGGACGACTGTTCCTGGAGCTGATCCGTTGTTATGGCATGCTTGTACGCTATGGTCTGCAGGATCCTACACGTTGAACCTCTCTTCTCCGGCACCCTCAGGACCGGACGGGTGTCGAAGCAGAGAATTTGCCAAACCACCATCGGTCAATGCTGTCTATCCACAATTCCACTGCTTTTTGGGCTCTTAGAAGACACGTAGAGGTTAAATCAGAGCTAAACACCATCACAGAACGCAGAGAGCCAGGACTGGGGGCTGTAAACAAACTTTATGGGACTGCAGGAAATTTAGCCACCCCTACGATAAGCAGACTGGGGGCTGTAAAAAATCATGCCGGACTATGGATGTTGCCGGACCAGAGAATGCCGGATTAGAGAGGTTCCACCTGTAGCGTCATGCTTTGTCAACATCAAACCTGGCCGGGCGTCTTCAGCCCTTAGCAGATCTTGTGACCATTGAGTGGTTTTCTCACGGTCTTCTGTGCCAGCTCTCTGCGCAGGGCTGGGGGGGTGCACACACACAGCCAAGCATCTATCGACCACTGTAGGATTTACCGTCTTCAGGAGAGTTACTGTGAATGTCTGGCGTCTAGCACAATAAGACCCTCATGTGGGTTGGCTGCCGTAACATAAATCATCTTCAGTCCACGGGCAGTCGACCAGTGGTGAAATCCGGCACTTAGTCTGTAATTTCTATCTTACAGAGACCGTGAGAGAATAAAGCAAAAGCAAACAAGGAAGCAGCATTTCAGTGAAACTCTTAATTTAAGAAATAGGGCCGGGGGAGGGGGGTGGGATTTGGGTTGGGGGGGAGGGTTGGTTTTTCATTCGGGGAAGAACTCATCTTACGGGAACTGTTTTTTGCTTGTTGGTCTCAGCTCAGCCTAGCTTGGATCTTAGACATGCAGCTTTCGTTCTAGACGTCGTGCTGATGGTAACCTGATCCCAACTTAATTTGGATTCTGTATTTTTTATAATAAAATTAAAATAAAACATCGTGTGAGTCCCATTGCTTCTGAGAACTCCTGCCTTTTCCTCCGCACCCTCTCCAGTGGTTTGCCTGACTTGTATTATTGTATTTTTGATCTCTGGTGAGTGTTTTCTTCCCCTCCCGGAAAATACCAAGCTTTGGCAGGGAATAGCTTCCAGAAATGAGAGTAGGAATCAGAAGTCCTGGGTTTTCTTCCGAGCACCAGGAAGGCATGTGCTGTAGAGGCTGAAATTAGGAATAGGGGGCTGGGTCCCCGCTTTGTAAGGGGAGCGTAATCTAGTCTTTTGAGTGAGAAATTTGGACTCACGGTTCCTAGCTCTGTCCCCGCTCTCCACCTTCCAACTCTCTGACCTTGAGCAAGTTGCTGAAAAGCTCCGTGCCTCAGTTTCCCCCCAAGGGGCTCAAGTTTTCCTGGGCTACATAAATACGGTAGCTCTGGGAAAGGATTAAGGACTTTCAGATCTCTAGGGGCAAGGAGCTTTGAGCAGTGCAAAGAGCTGTTGTTTTGTGGCCCACCCCTTCATGTCACAATTAATCTGCATGGCTGCAGGGTCTCAGAAATCCAAAGGCACCGGGCGAGCCAAGAAACAAAATCGCAAAAGGAGCCAGGAGCCCACAAGAAGCCCCACCCCTTCTGCCCAAAGCCACACCCCTTCCCCCAAGACCACGCCCCTTCACAACCTTCCCACCCCAGCCAAGCCCCCCAACACCCCAGCTGTGGGCCAGGGCTGCCGTGCAGGGTGGTCCCAGCCCCTCCCTGCGGCTGGGCAGGGCAGGCAATTTTGGGAAGGCAATGCCTTTCCTTGCCTGCATTACTCGCCGCCCGTGCTGTAAAGAAACACAAGGAGCCCCCTTTCCTGCCACAGGGGCATGGTGACATGGGCCCCCCAGCTCACTGCCTTGCCTCCCCCGCCCGCTCCGCGTCACTTACACCCCAGCGAGCAGCCCCACGGTGCAACTCACGGGTCACGCGGCCTGTCTCCTCCCCCTGCCTAGCATCCTTGTTCAGGGGACTATCCCGCCCGGGCTGGAGTCTTCACCCTTAGCCTGGGGCGAATCAACAGTAGCTCTCTAGGGCCAGCCCTATATCGTCAGTTACATCTTTGCCATGGGGGAGGTCACAACAGCACCTAGCGTGGCAATGCCTGCGGCCCGTATGGAATCAGCGGATGTAGAGACCCCATAAGAGACAGGCCCAGCCCCGGTGACTTGCATGACTTGGATTTCTGGTTTAGGAGCATCTTTCAATTTCCCAGACACCTGTTCCCATTCGGCTCCTAGAACTCCAGAACC